GTACAGAAGGAACTGACCCCTTGCTAGCTAGCCTTAGGCTCATCTTGGGCCAGTTACTGAAGTTTCTCTAAACCTAGTTTTCTCATTTAAAAAGTACTGTTGGGCACAATGGCACATGCCTGTGATCCAGCACTCAGGAAGCTGAGGTAGGAGGATTACTGCAAGTTCTAGGCCAGCCTGCGCTACAAAGTGAATTTAAGGTCAGCTGGAATTACATAGCAAGATCAGGTAACAAAAAACAAACAAACAAACAAAAAACAAACGCTTCACAAAAAATAGAGTTAATACATAGCTCAAGGCTGCTAGATGATGAAATAAGATAACATGAAAGCATCTGGCACACAGTCTTAGTGGCATGAGAACCTCTTCAAGGCCCTGGATATTGCTCAGCGGTAGAGCACTTGCCTATCCTGTATGAGGCCCTGGAGTCAATTTCCCAGTATGGGGAGGTGAGAATGTATCCAGTTTAAAGAGAAGCTCATTAACTGCAAAAATTGAAACTTAGGAACAACAGATTCCCCAACTTCCTATCCCTTCCACATGATGTAAGAATTCTGAAATCTAACACCCTACCCTACAACATGGACAAGCATCTGAACAGACTGAAAAGCTCTCTCTTAACCTTCATCAGAGAGAAAAGCGACATGGAGAGGAAAGGAGAGGAAACTTGACAGATGGGACTCTGTACCAAGATCCTGGAAAGCTGGCTACACAGCCCTGTGTGACGGCTACATTTTCGGCTGTAATTTTACACTCAAGAGTCCTTGGGCTAAATAATAAAGTTTCTTTAGGCCTCTCTCTGAGATTCAAAGCTCTGCTCAGAACTCTGAGTCAATTCTATGGGTCAGTGCCCAGTCAAAGAGGAACGTGGCCTCTCATAACCAGGAGGCCCAGCTAAGGATGTAGAAAGTGGGAGGGCCCTGAATTTGGATGAGTGGATAATGACAAGAAATGTGAGTGACAAGACACCCCTTGCTAGGCAGAAGCATAAACAATACCACTCTTCCTGAACTACAGAAATTACTTGTCCAAAAGGAATGGGAAAACTAATTATAAATCATTCAGGGTTAAAAAAAAAATCATATCCCCTCAAAGAGGGCCAGGCCAACTCCTATGATAAAGTAACAGTACCCTTCTTCCCATCTCCAGGGGCTCTTAGTAAAAATGAAATCATACATGCAGTTGCCAACAACTGTTGGCAGACTAGCTCTGTTCACAACAAGCTCTCTACAACAGTGCTTCTGAGAGCTGAGTAAATATTTATCATCTCTAGGACCTCCTGAACTAATTTTTCTAGTACTAAGAGTATCTGAGCATGTAAAACAACAGTAGCTGAAGTCAAGAGACTCAGGTTAGAGAAATTCCTAACTTCTCCAATTCGTTTCCTCAGTCTGATTTAAAAAAAAAAAAAAAAAAA